CATCTTTGGCATTAGTGGTTTATGTGTAAAATCCACTAATTATTATATTAATTGGTTTTCCTTGCAGGCTTATGGATTTTATCCTATCACTTACAGTGTTGTATTTCAGGACATACCTAAACATTCTTTTTGACAATGAATGTGATTCCATTTTTTTTCAATTTGTCATTCTTGGCATAGTAGACCATATGACTGTCTGATTCAAAATGGCCAATGCCAATCCATTTCAGCTCACTAATGTCTAGGATATCTACCTTCAAGTGTTTCATTTTTAACAACTTCAATTTTTCCTCGATTTGTACTTTGTACCTTCAATGTTCCAATTATTAATGGATATTTGGAGATGTTTCTTCTCATTTTGAGTCATACCACATAACCAAATGAAGGTCCTAAAAGCTTAACGTCATCCATGTCAATAAGATTATCTATACTTTGAGGAGAGAGCTCTTTTCAGGTCATATTTTGAGTGTCTTTCAATCTGAGGGGCTCATCTTCCGACACTATACCACACAATGTTCCACTACTTTCCATAAGGTTTTAACTGGTCAAGTTTTTCAGAAGTAGATAGCCAAATGCTTCTTCCCAATCTGTCTTACTCTAGAAGCTCCATTGAAACCTGTCCACCATGGGTGATCCTACTGGTATTTGAAATAACACTGGCATGTTTTTGTTGTTGTTATGTGCCATCGAGTCAGACCTGACTCATAGCGACCCCTCCTTGGGTTTCCGAGGCAGTATCACTATGGAAGTAGGTTGCCCAACCTTCCTTCCGAGGAGTGGCTGGTGGGTTTGAATCACCAGCCTTCTGGTTAGCAGTCAAGTGCCTTAGGCACTATGCTACCCTAACTATTACCAGTGGCATAGCTTCCAGCATTACAGCAATACACAAGACACCACTGTATGACAAACTGACAGACAAGTGTTAAAAATCAAATATGTCACCTTGAGGACTAGATGTACTTGACTCAAGTCATATGCATGTGAAAGCTAGACAATGAATCAGGAATACTGAAGAAGAATTCATGTCTTTGAATTCTGGAGTTGATGAAGAATACTGAGTATACCATGGACTACCAGAAGGACAATCAATCTTTCTTAGAGGAAGTACAGCCAGAATGTTCCTTCGAATCAGGGATTCCATCTTATGTACTTTGGACATGTTATCAGGAGTGACCAGTCCTTGCAGAAAGACATCATGCTTGGTAAAGTAGAGCATCAGCAACAAAAGACAAAGACCATCAATAAGATAGATTGACACGGTGGCTGCAACAATGGGTTCAAACATAGCAATGATTGATTGTGAGGATGGGGCAGGCCTGTGCAGTGCTTCGTTCTGTTGTATATAAGATTGCTATGAGTCATAAAAGACTTGACAGCACCTAACAACAACAAGCACATGAGAACAAGGGACAATTTTGGTAAATAT